ATAAACTTAAATAAAAAGGATTTATTTGAAGAACAGAGTAAGTTGTTGTTTAAACTGTCACTGTTTGGGAAATAGGTATTTGTAAGTACTTAGGTCAACTGTATCACACTCTTTGTAACTTTGACTCTTTTTACTTCAACTTTTCATAACACAAGAAGGTCTCTCCTTCAGACCTCAGAATGAGCTGCTCATCAACTGTCTTATTCAGCGCTAAGACATAGAACTTAACAACCCACACAGGGAAGCTTCTTCTTTTAACTGTTTCAACACAGAACTTCTGTTTCTCTCTCAGAAGTCAGAACTTAAACTCCTATCAACTGCTTTCACACAGCACTCTCTTCTGACTAACTGTTTAACTGTTAAACCTTAACTGTCATTTCTCCAACAGTCACTCCTGATAGACATTCAAATCATCCACACAGCATCCATTCCAAAACCCCTGAAGAGTGCTGTTTTAGTATTGGTGCTTGTTTTTATGGAAGCTGCCTAAGGCCCAAATGTCTCAGTACTTCAACGTTTACTCCCTTTGAAAATGTGCACCAATGATACAGCTTGAAATTGTTAGTCATCTAATACTATTTTCCCCTAGTAACCATTATGGAGTAAAATGGTTATATGCTGCTGAAAGACCTAGAGCAATTTAACTATAGTGACATCAAGGATCCTTTTTATAGAACACTGGGGTAAATGTAGCTATCCCTTTTGTTTCTAAATACAATGCATCCAAAAAGCTGTGAACCTTCATAGGGGAATCAGGAGAGCAGTGCTTAATGCAAAAAAACCCCTCAAATCGGCCCCATAAATTATTTTGGCTCTCCCCCTGTATAACCTGAGAACATATTTTAATCCAGTTTATTTACAAATAAAATTTAAAGGAATCACCACTTGCACTTTGAGATACTGGAAAATTGTCTCAGAATGATGGAGTCAAGATTTCCTGCCAAGTTTGTAACTGTCACTTTGGTATTAGAAGTGGTCCAACAAAATGAACTGCAGAATGGGTTCTTAAGCCAAAAACTGCTAGGTGGTTTTGCAATAATGACCTTATGGGACATGAACAGTGAATGCAGGTCCTGCAGTACCATGAAGAAATAGTTTGGACTTCTTGAAAAATTGTACCTGAACTTTGCCTTAGGGAAAGGTATTTGAACCCATTTCCAGGGAACAAGGACTTTTATATTAGGTAAGACACCTAAAACAAAAGTCTTTAGACTAGAATAAGAGTAGCAATGTGTGTCTTAGAACCCAGTTTTTTTTGGGGGGGCAGTATCTAGGAATTCCTGTCTTGTGTGTCTGGTTCAAAATCATGACCTGTGTGTGTACTTCTTCAGGGGTAATAAAGGTAAAGGTTTCCCTTGATCGAAAGCCAGTCGAATCTGACTCTAGGGATGCGTTTCCAAGCCGAAGAGCCAGCGCTGTCCAGAGATTTCCGTGGTCATGTGGCCGGCATAACTAGATGCCAAGGTGCATGGAATGCTGTTACCTTCCCACCAAAGTGGGTACCTATTTATCTACTTGCAATTTCTTGCTTTTGAACTGCTAGGTTGGCAGGAGCTGGGACCAGAGACGGGAGCTCACTCTGTCATGTGGCACTTGGGTCTCAAACTGCTGAACTACCGACCTTCTGGTCTGCAGTTCAGCGTCTTAACCACTTGCTTGCATGCAGTCTATAAGAGGTAAGTAACTTATCCTAAGTATGGGGGAGGGGGAGCATCTGTCTATGAAGATGCTGGTAAACAAAATGGAAGGGGGAAGGACTGCAGTTGGCCAGATACAAGCCAAGCCTCAGTGGTACTGACAGCATCACAAGAGTTTCACTTTGGACTCTGCTGGTGGTTGTACAGGTTTGAGAGGCATTGGCCGGAAGAAGCCACTGCCTCATTGGCATAGGTGCTTCAGGGTTTCCTATCCATGATTTTATATCGGAGAGAGAGTAAGGCCAGGACAGTGGCATCTGTTTCCTAAACTGATTCATGCAACTGCATTTGCTCCTCGTAGTTGGCTGGAACTCACTGTAGATTTTGCTTCAAATATGACGTTTTGATTCAGAAAGCTGCCAATTATCGTTTGAGTTTTTCCAATGATCATTCTGGCACTTTCCCAGAATTTAATTGGTGGGATATTACTAGAAAGAGACAGCTAGGAATTTAGACCAAAAACTGGCACGTCATCTTACAGCAAGAAAAAGGAGACTTGAATCTTTACCCACAGCCAGGGGTCATTTCCTACAGGAGCGCACAGGAGCAGAGCTCTGACAGTAAATAGCCCAGGGGGCGGGCACATGCAACAAACCCCACCCCCTGCTCCCAGCAACCCTCAGTCAGAGCAAGAAGCAGCCAAGTAAGTTAGTGTTCCCCCCGGTCCAAAACAGTCCAGTGGCACCTTTAAGACCAAGTTTTATTGAGGTACAAGGTCTCCCTCCTCTGCGAGGACAGATCTACACATTCCTCCCCCCAATAGCTAGCAACCCAAAACAGTCCAGTAGCGCCTGAGCGGTGGGTGTTGCCTTCTGACACACTTCCCGTGATGTCAGGGGGTGTGGCATATGCAAATAAGTTATGCTAATGGGTTATGCTAATAAGCTCCTGCACCTCTTTTTCTACTAAATGACCCCTGCCCACAACTACACCCAGAGCAGCATAGTAGTTACTGTCAGACTAGGGTCTGGAAGATTCAAGTTCCGGTCTTCACTCTGCCATAGAAGCTTTCTGGATGAACTTGGGCCAGTCACATCTCCTTGTTGATAAAATGAAGGAGAGGCGAATGATGTAAGCCCCTTTGGATTGCCAATGGGGAGAAAGATGTGGTATAAATTAAGTAAGGAAATATTTTAACTCTCTGTTCCTCAAAAAGTTACAGGAATCTCCCTCAGGAAAACAGCATTGGAACCAGGTTCAAACCCACCTCAGCCATTAAAGCTACTGGGTAACATGGTCAATTAATAACCTAACCTTCCTCCCGGGTTTGTTGTGCGGCTCAAAAGCAAGGGAGTGAGACATGGAAGGAAACAGTCTAATTATATTCCAGAATACTTTTATTAAACAGGTGAAGGACAAACTTTTATTTAAAAGTCATGATACAAAGTATTTTGAGGTAAATGAATATTTCATAAAACATACTTTGAGCTCAAGTTCACCTCCCAGCACTGTTACTTCAGTAACACTGTTTCCAAAGGAACACATATTTTAGCAATCATTAAGTACAAAAGTAACTCAGAGGTAAACTCTTTGACATATTCAACTTAAGTGAGACCTGCATAAGAGCAGATCTTTAAATGACACAAGCGTTTTTCCTCTTCAAGGCTCATCAAAAGCCCCACCACATTTTCAAAATATCAGCTTCAGCCATCACAAGAAGAATGCTCAGCCTCACTAGTTAAACAAAAGAGCAGGTCAAAGCTTGGTGTGCTAATCAGCAAAGTCTTTATCAAGGACTCCTGAGTGGGAGCTACTCACTCCAAGATTAGTCTGAAAAATAAATTCTAAAATGAAGATCTCGTTTTACTACTGAGTAACCGTTTACTTTACAAATAGGATTTCACAGATGCAAGCCTAGGGTCCTTGCCCCCCTACTCTTCCACTGTATGTATAATATCTTGCTGGTTAGCCAATCCTTTGGGGGCAGCGTATACTCACAGGTATATGAATATGTATAGACTCAGGTTCATATAAAAACATTCTGGGGCGAAATAGGACGACTATGAGGCTATGAATCATACTTAGCCCTGAAGTATATGTTCTCCGCACCAGCTGAGTATCAACTGTGCCCTACCCGCTCAGTCTAGTGTAGAGTCTGATGGAGAAAGCCCCAAGCTATTCTTCTGACTACCTATAACTCAGTCCATATAAACAAAAAAAGAAAGGCAAAACTACTGATTGTCAGTGCAAGGGGATTTTTTTGGTATGCCTCTACTTTAAGGGGGGGGAATGGGTTGCATCTGGCTCAGGAAGAATTTATTTAGAAACACAGCCGCCCTGCTTTTTATCAAATAGTTTAAGTCAACAGAAAAAGTTTCTTCCTCATACCCCTCTCAATGCAAATATACTTTGCCTCTGTAAGGCATTAGAGGATACGATTGCATCCAGGGCAGCCAATGAAGCCTTGTGCACTGAGAATGAGTGCCACCAAGAATCCTGGTGCTTTGCTGCACGGATGAAGCCTAGTGCCCAAACAGTCCACCAGAGGTCTTTTTAAAAAGGGATACTTTTCAAGCCCTTGCAAGCCAGGCTAAGGCCCCTTGGAACTCCCATGCCAGCACGAGAGAGCTCTTAACACAAAGGCAGTCAAGCAGTTACTGCTAAGGGGCTTCCGATGGTTTGTATCAACAAACTCTTCACTTTTCTCCTAAAGGACGGATGGTACGGTAGCCCAGGCCATTGCGGCCAAAGCTGCTGCCAGAGAAGCTACATCCTAGGACACGACCAGCTTTCAAGCAATATTAATTGGGACCCTCTTCAGATATTCTTAGAGAAGCAGAGCTGCTATCAAACCTGGGAACTGGTTCTATGAAAAAAGCGCACAGAAAAAAAGCCCACAGTCATAAATGCTCACAGGAAGAAAACCCGCATGGAAAACTGCCCACACGGGAAAAAGCACCATATAAAGCGCCATAGACATTTATAATTGTGGATAACCATTGTGGATTAATGCTCTCGAGTGTAAGGCTTGGAAGGGAAAATACAGGAAATAAAAGTGACCATTTTGTTATCGACGAACTTTATTAAGAAGGAAAAACTATACTAACAGAAATTAAACTATATAGAAATATTTTAAAATAAAATTAAATACTTAAAATGTATTAATTTACCATTTGTCAACCTTTAATGTTGGTATGCAGTAATTTCTAAAGTATTTAATTTCATTAAAATATTTCTATATAGAGTTTAATTTCTGTTATTATCGTTTTTCTTTCTTAATAAAGTTTGTTGATAACAAAATGGTCACTTTTATTTCCTGTATTTTCCCTTCCAAGCCTTGACATGGTACTTTTCTGCGTGGGCTTTTTTACTGTGAGCATTTATGACTGGGGGGGGGTTTCTGTGGATTTTTTCCCCTGTGTGCTTTTTTCCAGTCATCCTGGGAACCACATGGGCTCCTAAACACACAGAATATAGTTTTTGTGATATAGTATCACATAGTCTGAGCTGCCTTAGCCACACAAAAATAAATACCCTAAAAATGCAGCATGTCAATGGCTTAAACCGAGGGGAGGGGGGAGAGGTTTGAAGCTTGGGCCCAGTATACATAAGCTTATACATGTGCTACAAAGAAGTTGTTCCCCAGTTATTACCATTACCCGAACCCTGTATTGACCCTATGCAAGCTATGAATGCATTTACATGTACCCTTTTCTATACGGTACCTCCTTGATTGCAGGAACATTCTCCCACACCCCAATGCCCCCTTCTCCTAAGCTACTGCAGAATTGTTCTTTGAATCCCTTGATCAGTAAGGAAAAGCTTGACAAGTAATTCTGGATGAGACCACATTTTCCTCTGTGGGTTCTCCTCAAGAATGTTCAGAACCAACACAGAATCTTCTTACACAAAGGGATATTACTAAAGAATACAGAAGTTCTGCTGAAACTGTGTGATGTCATCACCGTAAGGGCACTTGCTGTGAGAGCTCCTGCAGGATTCTGACGTTTAAAAAATTGTGTGAATGCACCATTTATTCCAAAGCTTGACCGAAGTGCAACAATCCAGTGGTATGTAACTGGATGCTGCACGGTTATTACTGAAAACTTAATTCTCCTACACATACAATACTGTTCCATAAAAGCCTGCAACTAAGGCACATGGTTAAGGAGTGGAGGCAGAGGTACTGTACATTTGAACAATCTCAGCTTAAGATGTTGCTGTTTTGCTGCAGTAAAACAATGGTACCGCCCACCAGAGGAAAAGAAGTGTTCCAATGAGCAAAATGCATCAACATCAGATTCCAAAGAGGAAAACCACTGAAGCATGATCAAGACTATGCCCAGCTGTGGTTTACTGTTGCAGTACCTTCCTCTGAGTGAGATAGCATGTCTAAGAGTTTGGTCCACTAACCCTGAGCCAAAAATAAAAGCAGCGTTAGGCAAAGTCCAATCTGTACAGTAAGCACAATGATGCATAGATAGGAACACAGTAATGGGATCCACTCTGGGTCTCACTCCACCCCGTAAAAAAATAATCTAAACACATAAATTGATATCAGCCCTGAAAATCTACTTAGTTTTCCAGATGTTTCACCTCTATATTAAGTGAATCCAGTAAAGAGGACAGAGTTCAAGTAATTCAATCACATAGGACAGGTTTTTGTTACGGGGCTCACTCCTGTACAGACTCTATCCCAGTGTACTAAAAACACACAGTTTAGGAGACTGCTCTAGCAAACCACTGCGTCACTGAGTCCAACTGCAGAGGGACGCAATCTAAACACTGTTTCAGAGGCTAGAACACCAGCACTTTCCAGCCAGGGTAGGAAAATGAACATCCAAAATACAGAGAACCGCAGCACTGATCAAGTACCCAGTCAAAGACCACTTCCCTGTTGTTAGAACTAATTGTGACTCTAAGTTTGAAATTCCCCCCTTCATTGTTGTTGGAAGGACCCAGGTTCACAGCTTCCATGTCAAATGTCACAGCTGATCCTGAAGTAACTGCAGGCAACTGGTTTGTCATCTCTTTGCCATTCACAAATACAGCACCTGAAACACGCAAGGTAAGAAAATTAGTATTTCACGTACACACACAGAGATCACATGAAAATCCAAGAAATTCTGGGCCATGGCTTCAACTTGTATAGATGGGCTTGTATCCAGCAGTGCACAAGTGGAAACAGAAACAGAGTTAGTGTAGCTCTGCTTGCTCAACATCTTGTGTAACAACTAGCAATTTCCCTCCTATGTGTGTTATGTGTCGTCAAGACACTTCTGACTTTATGCTGACCCTATGAATTAATGACCTCCAAAATGTCCTATCATCAACAGCCTTGCTCAAGTCTTGAAAGCTGAAGGCTTCCTTGACTGAGTCACGTCATCTCATGTTGGGTCTTCCTCTGTTCCTGCTGCCTTCAACTTTTCCTAGCATTACTGTCTTTTCCAGTGAGTCTTATCTATACATTAGCGTGCCCAGAAATTGGTTCCATGGCATCTTGGGCAAGCAGAAAAGCACGTGGGGACACAATAAGTTGTGACTTAGCGCAAGCAGCCACGGTGGTCTCTTTCTTGCTTTTCTGCTCATTCAAGAGCTGTTGCACATGTGGAAATTTTGCCGAGCAACCAGCACAAAGACAGCCTTGCGAACAGGACCGCACAATTTACTATTTACTAGCCTATTCACATATATCTATGTTATATATCAACAGCAGGGGAGGAAAACAGCTTTCTGCCTCTCCCTCATATTTATTAAAGCTCCCCTGCCTGGTCACCTGGAGGAACCTCTGAATTACCACAAGTGACAAGATGACTGTTTACAAGCATAACTCAAAGAAGAGAAGAAGAGAAGAGATTGGATTTATACCCCGCCCTTCACTACCCAAGGGAGTCTCAGAGCGGCTTACAAACTCCTTTCCCTTCCCCTCCCCTCCCTGTGAGGTAGGTGCGGCTGAGAGAGCTGTGACAGAAACTGCTCTTTTTCAAGAACAGCTCTTATCAGGTCATCCAGCCAGATGCAAGTGGAGGAGTGGGGGATCAAACCTGGTTCTCCCAGATTAGAGTCCGCACACTTAACCACTACACCAAACTGGCTCTGAAAAAACATTCCCTCCAGTCAGCAACACACTGACTGGCGGTACCACTGATTCTACCTTTCTAGAACGTGTGATTGTTAGGTTGCACTACAGGTCGCACACAATAAGGCAGAGTCCAGGCAAAATCAGCTGCTCTGTCACCTTTACCCAAGTTCTTTGTCTGCAAGAGGTCCTCGAGCAACTCACCATTGGTGCTAATACACACTGCTTTGTCCCGCTGCAAAGAATCACAGCCGTTCTGCTGCTCCACACAAACACCTATGCTGTCTTTTTTGTCCACTGGGCCAACTGTTTCAATTCTGCAGAGAAAAACTCACAAGAGTTTACTACACTCTGAAACTTTAAACATTAACAAATGTAAGTGATATCCTGTTCCCTTTCAATGTTATTGTTAACAGGGCCCTAGCTAACGGCAATAGTGCCTGTGTTTTCTGGGCCTCCATTCTTCTGTTGTAATCTATAGAAGAAACTTGATTTCTGAACCCTGTGGTTTGCCTAAAGGGTTCCTTTTTTGTGATGCAGGCAGCTGGAACCACCACACATTTCACGAAATCTTCATGTACGCTGCATTTACCAACTGACTTCAAATGCTGAGAATCGTTCAGTGTTCACGCTCCCATTGGACACAAGCAATGGGAAAAGCCTGCCCTGCCATGCAACCTCAGGAGAACACCAGATTGCTTTCATGATGACCTTTTGTAATGGGACATTGATATTTGCCCTTTCAAGTTAATCTGAGGATGCTGAACAATTGCATACATAAAAGGCAATAAAACACACATACACACTTTAAGAAGTCCAAGTTAAACTATTTTGCACCGGTAAATTGTACTGCCACCAAACACTGGCATTTCTTTAAATGTCTAGCACTCACAGCTTCAGAGAAGGCTTCTTTTCAGATAAAAAAGGCTCTTGAGATTTTTATCTCAAGCAGCAGCATTCACCCTGGTTCAATCAAAAGCTAACACCTATCCTCACATTTAGGTAGTATGTCTGAATTGCTTCTACATGAAAACATCAGTACTGTTCCAAGCTGCTCACGGGCAATTTTGCAAAAGTGATTCAAGAAGATATGCAAGGCTCCTTGCCCATGACGATCTGCCTTGATAATAAACTCAATTTCTGGCAGGTTGGATTAACAGGTGAGCACTCTTCCAACTTTGAAAAACATGCAACACACAGCATATATAACGGCAAGCTCTATTTTTATGGGCAACACTGCCTTGCTGTCCTTCAATGTTCTTCTCAAACAGTTGTATGAAATCCGCTTGAGAGCACAGCTTCTTGTGTAACTCTGATAGGTCCGCAGACTCCCAATTTAGCCTCCAGCAGTTCTGAAACCTGAAAACCTCATATGGGAGAAGGAGCATTTACCAAAAGAAAAATGACATTTCTGTCCCACATGGCTGCAAAGAATGGGCTGCAAAATTCTACCACACAAAAGAAAGACTTGGACTGGGTTTCACTATAAAACATTTCATTTAGGTTTCTTGGGGAGCTCCTTGGCCTCCCCAGGAATATTTCTTCTCTCCAAATGTCTGGTCTGTCATGTCTCTATTGCCTCACTCTGTCAAAATCCTAAGGTCTATTACTACTGCAAGCAGAAGCAGTATGGCTAAGTACATATAGGCCATCTTAGTTGACAAGAGTTGTTTCATCAGTGTAGGATTCATATATTATGCAAAATTACAAACACAAGGCTCTTACTTTTATGACTGGCCTTAGAGTGAAGGCTGAAAGAGATACGATGCTTGGGAGCTCCTGGTATCTCTTCTTCTCTAAAAATCAAAGGCATGGGGGGGAGGGAAGTCCCATTCATACAGGGATTGTGAGAAGAGGGCAATGATTCCATTTTCCCCTAACTGAAATGTTACCAGGGCATCTCCTGTTTACCCTGTTGGGGAAATAACATTAGGTCCCTATGTATGTCTAATTTTTGGTGGTGGTGGTGGGGGGAGATATAACAACCTGTCTTTAGAGAACCTCCCAGTGTCACATATGAACACACATGAAGCTGCTTTGTTTACTCAGACTGACAGCAGTTCTTCAGGGTCTCAGGCAGAGGTCTTTCACATCATCTGCCACCTGATCCTTTTACTTGGGGATGCCAGGGATTGAACCTGGGGCCTTCTGCATACCAAACAGAGGCTCTAAGATTCAGCCACGGCCCCTCCATCCGATTGTCTAATCAGACTGGTAGCAGCTCTCCAGATGGAGATCTTTCACATCACCTACTCCCTGATTCTTTTACCTGGAGATACCACGGACTGAATTTGGGACCTTTTGCATGCCAAGCAGATATTCTACCACTGAGCCACAGCCCCTCCCCCAAATATAGTTAGTCCAACTGATATAACACTTAGTCTGGTTGACCTGCAACAAGCTATTGTCAAGGGAAACTTTTTGATTCTTGCATCATTTTGAAGCATCACTGGTATGAAATAACAAGACAGATTCCTGTGGCCTTGTGTCATTATTACAACATGCAAATCACACAGCAAAGCAAAGGTATTTTGCCTTCAAGCTCTATGTTTGATTGCTTCTGCACTAGAAAGAGGTAGCTTCCTGCAACACCTGGAATAATTCGCTCTTGTACCCCTGAGGACTCAAACTACAGCAGCTCTTAACCCTTGGCCCTTTTTGGGTCTCAGACAAGGACCTGAGCTCAGCACCGATTGTGACCAAACTCTGGCCATCTGCAAAACCTTCAGCCTGGGTAGCAAGTGCCTCCAGAACAGCGATATGGCATACAACAAACCTGGATGCTTCTTTGCACTGTGCAAGAAAGGAAACCTGCCTCCTCCTGGCCTTTGCCAGACCCCAGGCTGACAGTGATTACATAGAGGACAGCTCAGTAAAACAGAGCTCCTGTCCAAAAGGCAGAATCAGCTAACAAAATGTTGGGTTAGGATGACATTCATGCTTTGCAGCCCTTCTCACTCTTCACTCTGAAAAATCCCAGATCTGAATTTGCACCTGACTTAGAAGACAATACTAATAGCACATGGGGGCTCCCTTAAACCAAGTTCCACTTGATTTCCCTAGCAAGAAGATAGGCAGTAAGCATTTTTTACTGTTCTCCAAAGCAGACAACATATTGCAATACTATGATGTGCATTTGGGAACCTTTTTGAAATGACACATTGTGCGATACCCACTGCTGTGGTCATGTGAACCATGCTTCTGACCTCACAAGCTTGAGCTGCAGGGTATACAAAATCTAAACGTGTATGAAAACAGGAGAGATTCATCTTCTGAAGTTTGTTTCCCCCACTTGGAATATATTGTTAGGGAACCGGGAAAGACCCAATATTTACTGAGCACTGGCACCGAGCATGTATTGTGCTAGGCATGATTCAGGAAGCAGAACAGACATTACTCTTCCTCAGACAGCTTATGTTTTTGCAAAAAGTGTTATGGTTGGTGTGATGCAAAAGGCTAAGCTCTCAGATTTGGGGTGTGGGGGAGAAGGTGGGAAGAATCGCACTGACAAAGGAAGCAGAGGACATGTAGCCCAGATCTACATGAGGCAAGAAACTGCATGTCCCAAAGAGTTACTAGCTTTTCTTCCTGGTCAGCATACTAGAGTATACAAGCCTGTCAATTTATTTTAGATGGGGTTTACACTATGATACAAACTGGCTATGGAATGTTTGTCAAAACTACAGGACAGAAAATAAAATGGTTTTCCTTGTGACTGAAAAAAGGCAGGTCGGGGAATAATTCTTCCATGATATTTGGACTATTATTCAAAATTGGAACCATGTTGCACTCCTAATACTCTAACCAAAGCTTTCCAGTCCCCTGGGAAAAGCCACAGATAGCTGAAGTCAGGCATTGTGTGTATGTGGGGTTTTTTAAAAAAATCTTGCACATCTGGAATTAATCCAGATGTAGGCTGTTTGTAGAAAGCAAACCAGAAAGTGAACCAGAGATTTACAATTTCCAGCTGCCTCATTTTTAGTTTTAAATCATATTTTGTCAGCTCATACAATTTAAAAAATGTCATTTTGAACATAATCAGCTTGTATACCTAAGGGCTCAAGTGTCTCTCTCTAGCTGGAGAATTTGTAAGAAACAACATATAAAACCTTTAGTTGCTTATTGAAACCATCTCAATGCTGCATCTCTGTTTTAAAGAAATAAGCATCCCCTTGTTGGATGAGAGCAAGATCCATCTCCACCCAGCATTCTGTTCCCTAGAGTTGCCTGCAAGACACCCCTGGAAGCTCCCAAGGAAGGCATGAAAAAGGTGGTTAGCCTCTTTTTGCTGCAAGACCTGGTATCCAATGGTATTCTGTTATTGCTGTTCATGGAGTTTCTATTTAATTACAACACTTTAACTTTTGCACTGAACTGGTAATTAATTATTGTATGGCACTGTGTGTACAACAGTGAGGAAATCCTAAAATTGTCTGGCAGCCAAAAGTTCTGGCTCTTTAGCATTATGCACCACTAGGTGGTAAGCTAGACTTTGTTTTTAAGGCAAGAGACATTTCAAAGGCAGATTGCTATTGCCTGCCTCTGTATCATGACCCTGGTATTCCTTGGAGTTTGCCCTTCTAAATACTAGCCAAAGCCAACCCTGCTTAGCTTCCGAGATCTGACCAGTGACTACTTGTAAGTGTGAGAGCCAAAATAAATGTCCTTCAAGAGTTTCTTTGTTTAGAATATGTATGTGGCACCTCTCCCGGGAACCTGGACATTCTGGCTTGCATACCTCTTAAATAAATTCAGAGGAGCTCTTGTCACTGAAGAAGGGCAATTCTGAATTAGGGTGTTTGTCTCTAAATACCCACCAAGCAAATGCACACAAAAACGATTTTAAAAATAAGGTTCTATGTACTCCTCTGCAATGTGAATGTCCATTTCACAGCAACTTGAAGGATCGAATGGAAGGGAATCATCGTTCCTTTATAAGCATTTATTAAAACATCGATATTCCGCCTTTCCCACGGCCCACAGTGGTTCAGGGTGGCTTACAAAAACCAGCAGAACAAGCTATGAAGACACTGAAGCCACAGCAAAAAAGACCTGTTATGAAAACCAAACAGTAATAATCTGTCATGATGCCCTCCACAGAATTAAAAACAGCATCCACAGATTACAAATTCAGGAGATATTCATGTTGTTAAGTGAGGTGGGGGTTCCTTTGGTCAAGATGCAAGAAGAGAAAGGAACTGACCAAAGGAATCTGACTAACAACAGTAACAATATCTACAAGGAAGAGGGGCACCCTAGTAATGTAAAACCAAGTAATGGCTCCAATTCCTCTTGTGCAAATGCAAGCAGTAAATCC